GGCATTCCTTTCTGACAAGTAGACTCATTTGTGTCTGTTGGAGACAGCTCTAAATCTAGGGTCACCACAGGGGCGAGTCGAGTTTGCATCACTTAACCCTCATTTGGGACAACTGCTTTGCATTTATTTTTCCTTTCGTATCTCCGTAAAGCAGAAATCACATGGGAGACCATAAGGAGAGATGTATTAGTAAACCACAGGGTTCCAGATGGAAGGTTTACTAAATGTGCTTCCTTTTGCACAGGCTTCTACTCTATCAACCACACGGACTGTCTGGAATCTCTCATCCACCACTGCTTTGATGGAACAACAGGGGAACTTGCCCATGCCTTCTTCCCACCCACCGGGGAAATCCATTTTGATGACCATGAATACTGGATATTGGGGAATACCCGCTTCAGCTGGAAAAAAGGTAACACACGCTTCAGGGAGCACCTAATGCCTGGATGTATTAGGATCTTGGGGGTCCTTTTCTTGATTTACCTAAGATTGGAAAGAGACTATAGGAACAGCTGTAAGTTTTCTGCAGTTTTGGACTTTTGCTGATCTTGAGACTGCAGTGCTATCAGGCCCTGTGTTTGGTGGCAGTTCCAGCTGTTTCTGAGTAATCCAGTGGACTCCAGCCATGGACGCAAGAATTGGGCTGTGGCCCGAGCAGCTGTATCTCTGGGAAGGGCTACGTTATGTGACTTGGACTTGCTGATAGGGCTGTTTACATTTTAATTTTCCTGGGTTCATTTCAGGTTTGTAGGTACCTAAAAGTGTCTTGTGTGTTATTTAGGGCTTGAAAAGTGTTTTTTGTTGCTTTTTCAGCAATGTCAAAACAAATCTGAAATTAAAAGCAGATGGTCCCTAACTAATTAGCAAACCCACCCAGTTGATACTCTATGATCACCCTGGTACTTTTTTTGAAAGGAGGATATTTTGCTTTTCACCACCTAGAGAGGTAGAGAGATTCAGAATAGTCTCCAACAGCTCTCCCCCTCTTGCTTTCCAAAGCCCAGCAACAAATAAGAACATGGGACGAAGACTGGGGAGGGCTGATTTTTGTAACGGGTCAGTTTATATTTTACAAAATGCTCAGCTCCAAAAAAATACCCTTCTGCATCAAACTCCTACATGGCTGGTAACTATCAGTGATAGCGGGTGTTAGTCATCATTTTAAACATTGCTGTTGCACGGCAGTGTTCCTGCTGTCTGGCAGTTGCTCTGTGCACTACTGTTTGAAATTAAAAACACATGCAAATAATTGGCTTGTCTGTTTGCACCCAAGCAGCTACAGAGGAAATGAAATTTTAATAAGACAAGACCATAGTGCTAAAATATTTCGAATCTCTATTCACCAGGTCAGCAAATGCACTTCACCATGCAATGGCAGCTGTTTTTGCATTTTTCTTCCAGGTGTTTGGCTTACAGACCTGGTACATGTGGCAGCTCATGAAATAGGACATGCCCTAGGACTTATGCACTCGCTGAACCCCAATGCCCTCATGCATATCAATGCCACCTTGACTGGAAAAAAGACCATCTCTCAGGATGAAGTCTGGGGAATTCACAGACTTTATGGTAAGGAGGGCAGAGAATTGGGTTGTGCTCTAGGCTTCTCTGTATGAAGAATGTTTGACTAAACTTGTAAGAAGTAGCACAAAGGAAACATTTTTTTAGTGAAAAGTGAGGGTAAAAGCAGGTGTGGTGTAAATAGCTCTCTGGCTGGACTAGGCTGTGTTAATACAGCAAGGTCAAGCTCTCCCCAAGGTGCAGCAAGAAGCTCCTAAGCTCAGAAACAACTGCTTGCCCCTCTGAAACAGCCCAATCACAGAACGGTTGAGGTTGGAAGGGACCTCTAGAGACCATCTAGTCCAATCCTGCCTCTTGCAGGGTTTAGAAGAGACAACTTTGTTCTATCACTGGTGCAACTTCATGAAAGAACCTGGCTGTCCCTCCCTGTTCCTATAAAGCTGGTATCCTGCTCTGTTTATCGTACACTGTCCCAACTCTGTCCTTTGCATTGAACAGGCTGATGGGGATGAGACATCAGTTTGTTTCTCAGAGGGAATCCCCCTAATACCTTGTTTCCTCCTGTTTCAGGATGTAAAGACAGATTATTTATGTGCCCATCATGGGCACGAAAAGGTTTCTGTGAGAAACGCAGGAAGTTGATGAAAAAGCACTGTCCTTCCACCTGTGACTTCTGCTACGGTATCCTGCCTTCCTTCTGCGATCGGGGTGGGCTTCGGACAGAGAGAGGGGTTACAGTAAGGAAGTCGAGGAAGAAATGGTATTAGCTGTAGGGATAGGCAGGATCTTAATTCTGCATTAGAGGACAGAAGATGTGACTACCCAGCACTGATGAGAGGCATGGCCTGCATCTGATCCAAGATTTACATATAAATATTTGTGGACTAGAACATTAAACTATCACATTCTTCTCTAGTTTAACTAAACTAATGGTAGGGGGTTTCTGGAGGAAAAAAAAAACCACACACTCCATGTGCCTTGGAAATATTCCCATTTGAGAAGAAACAGAGGAACTGAGATGATGAAACACTAAATTAGGAGATGCAGTACTGTACCTGATGCATTTATGAGACAGGAACAAAGCGAATGAAACCTCAGACACAGCCAGACTTGACTTGCTCTGGAGAAAAGGAAATAAGAAAAACATGTTAATCATCTCATCTAGGGCCTCACTGCTAGGGACCCAGACACAGGGATAATAAGGAATCAAGGTAAAGCTACTGCAGATGTGGAATTAAGCTTCACATAAATATCCCCGACCTTAGGAAGAGGCACCATGTAAGTAGTGTCTCTGGCCAGTACAGACTACTGATAAAGGATAGTTCAATAGTTGCAAATATTTATATCCTCTGGGATTATTCATATACTGAACTTTTACCCACCCCTCCAAGGATATGAAACAGGGCTAAGTTGCCTTTTAATCCATCTAAATTTGTATGAAACAAGGGAGTTATCTTTGCATATAAACAACGTCAAATATTCAACGAGAGTGCTGAGTAAAACACATTTTTTAATTAATCCCTTTAAGGTTCTTGGGGTGATAAACTGATAATTGCATTTTGGGATGACTAAAGCTTGATAATGAAATATTCTAACTCTTTTGCCATTTCATTTTCTTAACTCTGTTGGACAGAATTCCCATTTCCAGCAATCCCCTCTACTTTGCCCCCTCCAAGGACAAAAACCAAGACTGTTTCTGAGGGCAGGAATGTCACCTTCCGCTGTGGACAGAAAATCATCCATAAAAAAGGCAAAGTTTAGTAAGTGCTCTGTCATTTATTCCAATTTAGGGCATTTAGCAGCTTACATACCAAAAAAGAGAAAAAAAGGAGTATGACAAGTATGACAAGATGTGTACATAACAGTGCAGTCACCTTCTGCTGACTGTCCTTTATTGGGCACTCATAGAAAAAAAGGGGTGAGGAAATGACTGCTAAGTCCCATCAGGGATGGAAGAAAGGATGGAAGAAAGGAATGTGCAAATATTGTTTATAACATTTACTTTGAAAGCAGAGCTATCAGCAAGGGACAAGCTGAACTGAAAAGGGTAAAATCCAGGCCACAATTATAGCATAAGGATGATCCTTACCCACTTTATCAAATTCCTTGGCATATATTCTGAAAAAAAAACCCCCAAACCTGCAGTCTTAAATTTACCCGTTCAATTAATGTTGTTAGCCCTTAATACTGTATGAGCTTGTAGGTTCTGGATGTGTCCAAAGCTGATAGCTCTAAGCGCCTGAGGGGCCAAATTCCCATTGACCCTCAGTAAGATTCAAGCTCCTACTGTTAATCTTTCCTTTGTTAAACAAAAGCAGCACCTACATTTTAAGTAGATGATGGTGGTTATAAGGGGATATATCCATCAGTTCTGTCTTAAGCAGAACTAACCAGCACAGAGCACAACTAACACATATTGCTTTATATTGGATGTTCCCTAATGCAAATTCTGTTGTTTTTCTGTTTTTTTTTGCTTTTAACAGCTGGTATAAAGATAAGGAGCTTCTGGAATATTCATACCCAGGTTACTTATCCTTAAATGATGATCACATGAGCATCATTGCAAATGCAATTAATGAAGGAACTTACACATGTATAGTAAAGAAAAAAGAAAGAATTTTGACCACTTATTCCTGGAGGATCAGACTGAGGCACTAACAAGACCCTGGAATAAGAACTTCAATTATTGCTAGTTCTGTTTCTAAATCAATTTTTTTCTTCAGCATTTTATATTTAACCTGCAGCAGTGCAATCAAACTTTTAAATCAACTGCTTCCATGGTTTCATCAAGAGAGACTGTGACTTCATTTTTCGGGAAAAAACTTTTTCAAGCTACTTTTAATGATTAAGAATTTATCAAGCTTGTCCTGTACAGAGAGATAATAAAAAATAATAATAATTAACAAATCTAGGGTCAGATTTTTGCAGTTACATGACTCACGTTCCTAGAAACTGATGAAAAACAAGAGTGAAACTTCTCATTGGGCAGATGGATCAACAGATTGATGCACAAGTTGAGTGTCTGCCTTGGAACTCAGCCTGCAGAAGCCTTGGTGCATCTCTGCACAACGTGTGAGCTCATCTGGACAGTGACAGCTGCATCCCGGCCTTCAGACTGGGGCTTCCATGGACTCGGGATGGAAAGGGCATCATTAGTGCAGCCCTATCCTTAGGATTTGCAGAAGGGAATCGAGAACAAGCAGCTGATGGCCAGAGCCACCACTAACCCCCTGCAAGAGGATGTCAGCACTTTGGCCACCTACCTGTCTCCCCAGAGCCAGGAACCCTGCATGTTATAGCATCACTACATGTTAAAATCATAGTTTCCCTCTGTTGAAATGCTCATTTGCTGATATGGAAAACACTTCAGAACTTTGGAGCTATCCTCAAGGTAAGCAACAAAACTTGCTTGATCTTGGATTAGAATTTGATTTTTTTTTAAAAAAATAAAATCTGAAATAAATCAACAGCAAAACAAATACCTGAAATCCTGTGATGCACCACACGCTCATGCAGTGGCATTTCCACTTTGGTCCAAATTATATACTCTGCAAGCCTTCCACAATGCTGAAATCAGCTGTTTAACCTGCCATGATTTCAAACTAATTAAATACTGTAAAACTGTTTCTGATCAAACTGACTTTAACTTATTTTCTCCTCTCCTTTGCCCTTACATAACTCACATATGATTAAAAATAAATACATTCCCCATCAATGTCAAAAGTCCAGATTTAAGTTAACCCACCTTGGAAAGATGCTTCCAATTGCATGTGAAAGGTCTCTTTAGAAAGTTAAATATCGCAGGTAAAGTACAATTATTTTTAAGTATTTTTATCCCTTTTCATTTCTCATATATTTATTTAGTATGAATAAATAAGCTTAGGCTTCAAATTTACCATCATATTTAGGTAAGAGTACAGGGTGGTAAAAAAATTTAAAAATGTATCTTTTTTATGGACAATTACAATCAGGATAATAAACTGCAAGTACTATGTGCAAAAACAGACATTTGTGCCAACCTAAAAGCTGCAATGTGGCAACTGAGCAATGCTGCTAGACTGACGAAGAGCTGATATTGTCCTCCTATGAAGGAAACTGGAATACACATACCTCTTAGAACCACATCAAATTCCCACTATAATCCAGCATCAGACTTCGTTGATTTTGCCTTTTTTAAAAAAAACTAAAACCATCCAACTGAGATGAATAATCCTTTCTTTTTGTCAGGGAATCAGACCTGCCATGCGTGATGCTGCAAGAAGGCCAAGGAAGTTAGAAAGGAAATAATGTCACAGAGTGCAAGATGCACCATAGAGCTTGAAGCACAAAGTACAGTCATATTTTTTTCCTTACAGTTTATCAAGGCCATGGGAAAATGGTTCTTCTGCGCTGCAGTCTGTGGGATGTAGCAGAGAAATTGCTTTTTCATTGGTTATTGAGCTCTGCATATAATCATCAAGGAAGAATCTCTGAGAATTCATGCATACTTCAGTAACAAACCAATGATAGAACTGTTTCTCCTCCAGGATCAGGAAATCAGGCCTAAAGAGAAAATAGCTCTGTCTTCCTTCACAGAAACAGCCTTTTTCAAAGTTTACAAGTTCAGTGTATCTAAATTCCAGTTCCCAGGCTCTTATGTCCAGTAACATCTCTTAAAATGCACTGAAGTCAGGGGAGTATTATTTAAGTTAAGCCTCTTACTGGAGTGGTGCCCAAGTCTGACTACATGCAATATTTTGCAGCATTTTCCAAATCTTCCAGTCCCAGAAAAGAATGATAACATTATAAACTAAGAGACCCAAAACACTGAGACATTCCAACTTGATTCCCTTTGTGAGAAATTATATTACGCAGTCAGTACAACTAATCTTTTTTTTTAATGGAAAAATGGGATATTTAAAAGAACGTCGATAAGAAATAAAGTTTCAAGTGTCCATAATAAATCTTTCTTTTTGATTTATAAAACAATATATTAGTTCTGTTGCACCAGTACCACTGTAAATACATGTATGTGACAACTCTGTGGTCAGTCCACTAGCGCACTCAAAAAAGTTGTTGGCAACCCTCAAGCATACCCAAGCCTCTGCAAGGCACAGAAAAAAAGAGAAACCCCATAAGTGTCATGATTTCTTGCCCAAACTACTACCTTCAGCCACATCCATCTTGCAAAAAGGTTGGTTCTGTCTGGGCTGACAATATGCTGTAATAGTTTAAGCAGCATATAGGGAAACAGAATAAAAAACTCAGAAGTTTCCACTCTAGAAGACTTAATGCCACCAACATCCAAGTTTTCTGCATGTGAAGAAATGAAATCCTTCACACTATTAAACAATTAAAAATGTATTTTAATTCTACAAATTTACAAGCAAAAATACCCCTAAAAACAACACAAAAAAAAAACCTGTTCCAGGATCGTACTTCAAGTTTTCCTTTGTCAAATTTGACAATGAACCTTGACTTTTCAGGTTAATTCCAGTCCTCTAAATGGAATGCAGCAGACAGGTAGTTGCACCCAGCAACAGCCTTTGAATCTGTGACGACATTTGGTTTTTTTCCCCCGTAAAAGGCCTCCAGTCTCCCTGATGTGAAGAACAGAACTGGAGGACTCAAAAATCCACTCACATGAACAGTTTGGGGTTTTTTTGTTTGTTTGTTTCTTCATGGTGAGTTTAGAACTTGAGGCTGAAGCCAGGTCCTGCAGCAGATGCTCCCTGATTTGTGGTGGTTAGATGAAAACCTGTGTCTTTCAGATCATCATCACCCTGGGAAAACCAAATACAATTCATTTATTGGCAAGTATCCATGCACATGTATGTCTTTCTCAATACAAAAAGTAAAGCCAAAAAAAAAAAAAACCCTTAAAAACTGTTCTAAGAGCAGACTTCACTCCTCTCCTAGCTTAAATAGTACAATAATGATTTTGTGAATACAACAGCAGTTGGATTCCAAGCCCCACAAGACTAACAGCATCCAATCTGCATCAACTTTCCAAAAGTGGAACTTGGACATGGATCAGGACAGCAAAAAGTCTATGCCCAATTTTCCTGAGCCACTCTACTTACCAACTGACTATATCCAAGGCCTCCCTCAGGTGGTCGGGGGCTAGTGCCACGTTTCACCCGTTGTTGTTCACTTTTTGCTGGCCATGTGGGAAACATGGAGGGGTCAATAGGAAGGGGAGTTTCTCGGAAATATTCGTGCTTCAAACCATCTTCGGCAGTGATTCTTCTGGCTGGGTAGTATGTCAAAAACCTGAGAAGTATTTAAGCATGCAATGGAGTTCATAAGAATCTTTTTTTTCCCTTTATTAACTCAGTTACATGCCATTTCATTGCTTTAACAAGATCTATCTGCATGATGGCTGACTCATCATGTAAGTAAGCATGACACGAGTGATATTAAATTACTTCTGAAACGGTACTCTATTCTTCTAGGATATCAGTGTGCAAATATAATCTTGGATTGAGATAACAGCAGCTGTTAAAGACTGGCACACTGAACAAAGTTGCTGGGAGAAAGAAAAGCAGCACTGCAAGGAAACCTCACAGACAAATCTGAAAACCATTTGCAAATTTTGACTATAAACTAAATCCACTGAAACACTATGCTTCAGTCATTCTCCATAGTTAACATATCCTGTGAGCACCTTTTCCCAAGGATCCCTGGAAGACAGCACTTACTTGTTCATCAGATCAAACCCTTGATCAGAAAGGAGTGCTCCGAATCTCTTGCGCAGATTGTTATAGGGATACTCTGTGAATGTCATCTTCTTTACAGCTGGCAGCTCGTTGTAACCAGGCCAGATTTTTTCACTTGGAGTACCCAGGTCCTATAAATTAAAATATCTTGACTGCAGCTTTCCTGCTTATTCATTATATAGCTATGGAAGTTGATAACTATCCAAAGAAAACAGACAAAATACAAACCATGATCTTAATCCAATATGCCTATGGTAAACAAGAATCAAAATATTAAGCCCTTTATTAAGGTTCAATCTCTGTGAAAGTGTGGCAAGTATTTTGATTTTGCTACTACCCTCATACACCTGCCTCCAAAACCATCAGTTAAAAATCAAAAGACGTTAAAAATGTTACCTTAAAAACTTTGTTAATCTGGTCGATTTCTGACTTCCCTGGGAACAGCGGTTTCTGAGTTAACAGCTCTCCAAATATACAGCCTACTGACCACATATCTATTGCTGTTGAATATTCCTGAAAAGAGGAAACATATTATACATTATGAAATTATTAAGATGATTGAGTAGCTTTAAGAGTCTACCATCCTGAACAGAACACACAATATCATTTCCATGCCTAAGGCATAACCATCAACTGTATTACTGCAATTTACAGTCTATGGCACAGACTTTTTCTTTTTTTAAATACAATCATCTCACCTGTCATAAGAACTTATTTCATTATTCTTCTTTGACAGAACACTAAGACCCTTAGCACAGGGCTTTTTTGACTTTGGCACTTCTCTTTCTGGTGATCATGCAGTACTTTTTTCAGGTGTATTGATTTCATCAAGTTTTCAGTTATGAAACTGGGATTCAGTAGAGAACACATTCAAAATGTTTCCAGGACCTTGTTCTGCTACCAGGCATCACAAATTTTAGAGTGAGGTGAAAAAAATCCAGCTGCCTAACATGAAAGCTTCCAGTAATTCATGATAAGGAGGCCAGCAACTCTATCACATCAGCATCCTAAAGGAGGACACTTTTATCACCCACCTACACTCTGCCTCTGGAAGCATGAACCTTTGCAGCTTTTTTATTAAGAATAAAAAAATTGAAATCAGTCTAAGAAGTCATTCTTCTAGCTCCCAGAGGAGCAAGGGGAAACATACCTTGGCACCAAGCAACAATTCTGGAGCCCTGTACCAAAGTGTCACAACTACAGGGGTGTAAGGCTTCAGTGGAGATCCATATTCTCGGGCTAGCCCAAAATCGCCAACCTGAAAGAAAATTAGTTGTCCGCAGCAGTTCCAACACTGACCATGCCCTTTACTGCCACAGCCAACGCGTATTTGCCACACTGGCTACTGCATGGTCTCCAGTCTTGAAAAATAGCCACAATTCTTACCTTTAAAATGCCTGAATGGCTAAGCAACAGGTTGGAAGTTTTCAAGTCTCGGTGAAGGATCCAGTTGTCATGAAGATGCTTGACTCCTCGCAATAACTGAATCATCAAGGTTTTCACTTCACCTGAAGTGGTAAAAACAGGCCAATATTTTTTTGTTGTTGTTGTTGATCTGATGCCTAATTTCACCCTAATCATGGAAACTGCATTCATCAGCCAAACACCACTTTGAGTAACAGCACTGGCAGCCCCCTGTCCTATCATAACCTGAATCAGCTGAATCACATTATTCAGAGAAAAAGCAATAAAGATCCCATTCCACAGGACATTCAAAGGACATCCCAAGGTCTCAAACAAGACAATTCTCTGAGCTAAGTACAGCCCATAGACACTGAGGTCTTTGTAGCTCATTTTCCCAGCTTGAGAATTATAGCACTCTGGCAAACAGTACCTGGTAAAAATGGTTGCTTCATTGTTTCCATTAGACTCTTGAGATCATGTTCTACATAGTTCATTACGATATAGATTTTGTCCATATTACTACCTACAACAATTTCCTAAAACAGGAAAAACAAATGATCAAAGCAAGCACGCACTATTTAAAAAATACGCATGAATTAATTTAAAAAATGTACTGGAAATAGCATAAATACTACCTGCCATTGGCAAAATTCATAGAAAACTTAAGACTACATGTTCAAGACAAAAGTTCACTTCTGTAATTGATCAGATTTTGTAGAGAGAAGCACCATCTGTTTAGTTTTGCAGATAGCACATCACTACTTATAGAAACAAGCTCTGCTACGAATGCTAACATTTTTGTAAGGTATTTTAGTAGCCAAAAGACATCATTTCAAGGAAAAAAAGACTTTTCAGATAAAAGGTTGTTGTCCTTACTCTGACAGTGACAATATTTGGATGTTGCGCTTTCAGAATAGTATTTATTTCTCTAAGAGAAGTAATGGGAAAGCCTTCCTTTTCCTTTTCCATTTTAAGTCGCTTCAGAGCCACAATTTCATCTGCAAGGAAAACAGAATTGTTAACTATTGATTCAATACAGCTAATAAAATACATGTGAAAAGGTCTCCCCAGTGTCAATATTTAATTCAATGGAAGCCTTTATTCAGATATTATATCTAAAACAGAGCTCATCTGACAATACCGGGGTTAAAAAAAAGGACAAGTGTCAGGAAAATTCAGAACAGTTACTCAAAACTGAGAGGAAAAATGCTGATTATGGATTTTAGTGTATTCTAAGGTAACTCACCTGGAAAGAGACTAAACAAAAAGTGTATTCAACTACAAAGTCCTCATCATGGTTTTTGAAAATCATGGCACTACTCCACATATTACTACAGTGATACATAAAGTCACAAGGTCATAATGCTTAGTTAACACCAGAAAACACCAACTAGAAACCACTTATACTAACCAGTCTTTTTGTCTTTTGCTCTGTAGACCACACCATATGTTCCCTCTTCAATCCTGTTCAAACACTGAAATTCCTCCACACTACGACATCCCTTAGGAAAAACAAAACAACACAACACAGAGGTTTACTCTTCAAATGTCTGTGGAAGGGTTTTGCTCATTTGTTTTAAAAGGACATAAGATAAACTTCAGCAATTTCCTAGGAATAGTTCAAATTTATCAAGAAAATTCTAAACATGGCTATGCCAAATGAAAAAGGTATCTCTGGAGTTCATTTTTACTTGGATGTCTAAAGGATTCCTGGTGGCTGTTTCAGTATAACTAGGTTCATTAATTCCTCATTCACCCCGTGTGATCCTCTACCTGAAGTGCAGGAAGGTATTTCGGAAGCTCCTGTTTCAGTTCAATGGGGGAGGAAGCAGGTGAGTCAGGGATATAGTCTCCTTCTGTCATGGCGTTGGACTGAGGGGTTCCCTCCCCAGCCTCCTCCTCTTCTCCTTCACTTGCTGCTGAATCTCGGTCAAACCTCGACTCTGTAACTTTAAAAGTCAGAATCAGTCATGGAAAGGGAGCATCATTTCTAGTACTTAAATTCAGCTTTAGACAAATAAAAGAAGTGAAACTTGGATCCTTATAAATGAGATAGTAGCAAAGTGCTACTGTGCAAGAAAAGTTACTATAGCACTGAAACTCAGGAAGACTAATTTCTACTCTTTGCAGAGATGAGGCTTTCAAGAGCCTCATCTTATAGTCTTTATGGTTTTCCAGCACTAAATACTACACATTGGAAAAAAAAAATCTTTATAGAGAATGCAAAAGAAAATTGAGCCAGTAAATTTCATTCTGCCTTCAAAATCTTAAACTTTTTGCTGAGTAATGTTTCCTTAAAAATTCAATATTTGCATTGTACCAACTGGGATGTGGTTTCCATTCTCCCGTTCTTCCTCTTCACTTATTTCTTCTTCACTCACCTCTTCTGCAAAACAGAATCAAGTCCAACTCAATAAATTCAACACTCCTGTTATTTCCTTGTCATGCAGGTCATTACAAATTCTCATTTGGAGGATAAATTTGCCAGGCCTTGTTCATCATTATCTAGTTAGTGAACCCATACTTGTGTTTCACTTGGAAAACAAAAGCTTTCTCTAAATTTAACAGAACTTCACTGTTCAGTCCCCAGGAAGGAATATAATTCTTATGAGTGTCCTGAAATTTATAGTTGCAGAAATAAATTAATTGTATCAGGAAGCTTACGCATATTATCACCTTTAATTGATTTTTAAATAAAAATATCTAGCCCTCAGACGGGTTGTTGTGCCTTTTCTCTACTAATTAATGACAAAAAAGCTAATACAGCTTTCTGTACAAATCCTTTTTATATTATTATGTTCAATAATTTGCACTTAAAAAAAAAAAAGATTTTCTCATTCAAAATGACAGAGACATTTGTATTTCACGCCTCCCCCCACCCTAGATAATTGCAGAATTGCTCAGTACATACTACTTCTTACTGTCCAACACAGAATTACTTAAACTGTTAGTCTTACACCATTTAGGAAGACAAAAACAGCTTTCAAGTTTGCTAATCTTGCTTCTTAGATGAATAATTTGTATTACCTCTATGTAAAAGGATAGAATATGACTTGTACTTGTTTTTTTTTCCTTTTTAGTTATCTTGACCTGTGAGGTCTCAGCCTATCCTAGACTAAGAGAAAAGGAAAATGTTGAAGTAAAACGGTAGAGAACAGAGAGCTAAGATATGCCATAACACACTATTGTAGGACCTTTATATTACTCACCAGCTGATTGCTCAGACACTTCCTCAGAATTGCTTCCCGTCTCCTCTTCCTCCTCCTCTTCCTCTCCCTCTTCTTCAGATCCTTCACTGCTAGACTCCTCTTCCTCTTCTTCTGAGCCTGACCCAGATTCTGCTGAGGAGGGAAAACACATATTTCTACGTAGAACCATTGCACAGACATCTTTTGAGGAAGCATTATTATGTAGAATGTATTACATTTACTAGACTGCACTTATTACCTGATGAAGACTCTGCCGAGCTGGTTTTTCTCTCACTGTCACTGATGTCTTGTAAGTCTGAAAGGGGATCTCTCTCTTCTGGTTTCTCTTCTTTTACTGTGAGACCATAAAAATCAAAAACAGATGACTGGATATGACAGAATTTCACATTCTCTTCAAGAGACAAAAAGCTCTCTGAACTGCAGTGGCTAATGTGAACAATACTTTCAATACAGCAAAAGAAATACGTGTTTCACTAAAAATGAAACACTCTTCCCTAAAGCAGCTCCTCATGGCCCTCAGGCAAAGGCATTATCAGGTGCAAACACTACCTGGTTTCCTGCTATCTGCTTGCTCAGGCTTTTCTCTTTGTTGTCGTAATGGGCTGCGGCTCCAGGGTCTCATTTTTACTTTGTCTCCATATTCTTCCCTCACTGTTCTATGATGTGCAGAAACTAGTGAAAACAAAAACAAAATGAATCTTAACATCTCTCTGCTAATTAGAATTCTTTCCTCTGCCACAGCCACCTGTTTTCTGTATTATTCCTTTTTTATCTCAGGAAAGGAAGGGGAGTAAAGATGAAGACAGATCATTTAAAAGCTCCCTGAAATTATATTGCAAATGGTCTGAAGTCTTCTGTGAAGTGAGAATTCAGATGTAAAAGTTAATTTAATTTATCGTTTGTCAGACAAGTAGTCCTATGAACATAAAAACTGTTTTTTGGGTTTCTATACTTGTGTCTTGTAATCAATTGACTTTAGTGTCTATGACTTTAGCTCCAGCCAAAGTTATCAGATCTCATCCACTTAATTCTTGCTACAGCTTTTACACTGTGTAGATCCCCATGCTTAAAATTGTAAACCCCAACACCTAGGCTGGAATAATTAATTACCTTCTCTTCTGGCTTCCCTTTCCTTACGCCTTTCTTCAGCTCTTCTTTCTCGTTCTTTCTGCTCCCTTTGTTCTTTTTGTTGCTCTCTGATTTTTCTCTCTCGTTCTCGCTCAAGTTGCTCTAAACGATCTCTAGAAAAAAATTGTTATTTTTTGTTACACTGCTGTTCAATACAAGTTCAGCTTTTGAAGACAAATATTTTTCCTGTAACAAGCTGCAAGGCTCTTCAATTTCACTAGCAACAGCACCACCAGTTGCATGCTCGTCAAATACATAGGTGGCTTTTCATTTAATACTTTAAAGACAGTCCCTTTGAGACAAAGGTCATGAGCTAGGAAACACATAAGCTTTTGCACCCTTACCAAGGCTTAAAAACACATAAAACAAGTCTAGTTAGTAGATCCCATCATTCTATATAAGACTGACACACCCATTTTTCTCCATAGCAAAACACTGGCAACAACTGCACTTAAATATATTTGTTCTAATTAAGTCACTTACAAAGGTAGTTAAAGCCATTCTGTCAGACAATACATTCAGAGGAACATGGGACAGGCAGTGCACCTTACCAGCTTCTGCTCTGGACTTTTTTTTTTTTTATCAGTGCAGAACAGTAAAGAGTACAGGAGACATTTAGAGGAGGAAGAGGTTTGTCTCTCTGCTGGTTTTTGGGGGGTTAAGGGGAGAGGGGCAGTGTAGGGGCGACGTAAAATACCTCTCCCTCCTGGAATGCTCCCTTGCCATTTCTCTCCGTTTCTGTCTTTCCCATTCACGTCGGGCTTTATCCTGCTCTTCTCTATGTCTCTTCCTACGCTCATGTTCCCGTTCTTTCTCTTTCACTCTGGCATGTTTCCCTAACCAAGACAAAAATGAATTTTGGAGTGTTACTGTTCAAGATATTCACTGTTTCAATTTCCAGAAGGCAAAACTGGATGAGATGAAACTTATGACACCTATATCTGTGTTCTTTGGCCTTTTCTTAACGGAAAAATCCCGATCCAGAGGGGTGTTACACAATTTAATAGTTATAAAATCTTGTGTGAACACTCATGTTGAAATAGAGGAAGATTGTCAGTAACAGGACTTTCTGCTCTGTTTTACATTGAAAGGATATTTGTTCTTCTACTGTCAGGCACAAAGATCACGGCTCAACACCTCACTCCGTGAATCCAGGAAGAAGTTAAGCAGACTTCAAAGAGTAAAACTGGACCTTCTGTCCCTGTCCCAAAGTGTTTTTTTCACCTCAGGCATATATCTCCTTCTTAAAAGGCCATTCAACATAAAGAAAACAGAAAAGTTTCACTTTTGTCTAATCCATCTGTCTTTTTTTCTCCAGTTCACATCTACTGTTATTTAAGCCCTGTACAGATTCTGTTCAGCTTGACTAGTATCAAAGAACCACAACAATACCCCCTTCTGCTGAGTGACTACGGTGTCGACGCTTCTCTTTCCTCTTCTCATCTTTTCTATGATGAGTTTTTTCTTTCCGTGACATTTGCTGTGGAGGTTTTATGGCCAAGGAATCATCTTCTTCTCCTCTAAAATATGACATAAGTTAGTAAACTCAGGGAGCTCATACATATTGCCTTGCAAAGTGTATGTTATTTCATCTTTTCAATTTTAAATGTGTTTTATCTTAATCAATGTTCATTTCTTTAACACCGCTGAGCTAAGGCATTAAGACTACATTACAGAAAGCCAGACAGGTGAATAGTTATGCTATTACTATATGTGCACTTATAATCTACAAGTAAACTGAAGATAATTAAATATCAAAGAGAATTAAGCACTTTGAGGGAAGAGTTACATATCTGGGTACAGGTCAAAACTTGACCACAGAATTAAACTTGAAAAGATATCCTGGCACTTTCTGCAAATAGGACACAAGATGGAACACCAACATGCGAAAGGAGTTAACTCTTCCCCTTTAAAGATGTTTAAACAAACTTCTCGTTACTTCTAAAGTTTCACTAAAGCAAAAATACTATTTTCATATTCTTACCTGTCTTCCATAGAGTCTTCCCTTCTGTAAGGTGAGTTTCTGATTGTTATTTCCATGCGGTGATCTCTTAGCTCCCCCTCCTCAAGGGAATCCCGCTTTGAATCCCGATCATCTGACTGTCGTAGGAATGCAAAAAAAGAGCAAAAACGAAACACAGTTAATTTGTATGTTGAAAAGGGTGAAAAAAAAGGACAATAAGTACCACTTCTATTTCAAGCCAACCTTGTAACTTGCTGATGTGATGACTCAAAGTACTTTGTCAAACTTTAAGGTAACTAAGAGACCACTCGTGACACCTACAAGAACTTGTTTATCAAAGGGTATCTTACATTTTTAATACGCTTTATCTCTGCCTTCTCTTCTTGCTCCTTCCTGCGCTTTTTTTCCTGAAGAATTTCATCTAAAGTTTTCACTTTCCAAGAATCCTTTTCATCACCCATTTGAGTTCAAAAAAGCTCTGGAGAAAAAAAAAAAAAAAAAAAAGAAACTGTGATATTAATGAAACCTACAGAGCCACACAGTCACCAAACACAACTGCACCAGTTTTACACACGTTTTTCATGCACAGATCAACATTTCACATAACATTGTCAAGGAAAGCTGAGTTGCACTTGACTTATGCTGAGCGAACAGAGCTTGGCATAAAGCCAGGCGCGCACAGCAGTTTCCGCACAGTTAACGGACTGCCCGAGCAGCATGAGGACACCTACAAGCGGGATCCGGTGCTTTGCCGCTTCGGAGGATGCAGAAGGGCCGCGAGCACCAGGCTACCGGGCCCAGCGCGGGTACCGGGAGGACAGCGCCGGGCCCGGGGCTGCCCTCACGCCTAACGGCGTGGCCCGAGCCCCGCGCGGCCCCCAGGGCAG